GATTTCATCCTGCAGTGTTAACTGAAGATGTGTTGATGGAAATATCAATATGATAGCATGGTCCAACATTGGAATTTTTGTTATCAATACAAAGGATTTTTCCTTGTGAATCATGCCATATATTTGCATCATATTTACAAGTTGAGATATTATGGCTGTTGAATACACCTTCTCTAAGGCCTTTTAGCCCGGTTTTATTACTCGTCTATTAAGAATTTATTTATATTACTGTCTAGCTGAGCCAAAAAAAGTGAAACAAGACACCTTCCATCATTATAACAACCACGAACAAACTCACAGAAATAACTTGAGTTAGAAGCACACCGTTAGAACTTCTTCTGATCCTATGTTATCACCACCATAGACAAAGAGCTTGCAGCCATGATCACCACAGGATTGGTTTGCAGACCAATGCAAAACAATGACAGGAAGTCTTTTCTCTCCCGATGATAATTGTAATTTAACAACATTGTTGGGTGATTTTTCAGCTTGCTGAATCTTTTTACAGGTAGTAGTTGATAAGTTCCAAAACATGATATCCCCATCTACATAACCAACTGCAAGAATTGACCCATCATTCGATGCCCAACAAAGAGAGCTTATCTCTTTCACTTCATCACCATCCGATGCGCAGTCAGAAACTTCAAGTTTTTTTTCTTCTGGAGAATCAGATGTTGTTCTGCCTTTCAATTGGAGATCCTTATTGCCTCTAACTAGAACAACTCGATCTTCAGAAATATCCCAGACAACAAGCAACCCATTCTCGTAAGCAATCAGTACTCTACAAAAGAATGCAATTTTTTAATGCAACAGACAGCAAAAATTGAACCAGACAGAATGTGATGCACATTATTAAGCACTAACTTTGGTCCTGTTTTTACTGAAGACTGCAACCTTAAACTTTTAAGAGGTAAGGCACCCATGCAAGCACAACCCTGATTCTCTGCACCACCCCATATACATGCACAGAGATGGTGTGGAGAGAGTGGTAACAGATTGACACACATATAGATTAGCGTATAGACTGCTCAAAATAACAGATTTATAGAAGACATAACAAGGCAACTAGTTGTTGTTTCAGCTCAGTCAACATAAAAAGAAGCTATTTGGCCTTGCAATAACCATCATATTGGATTCTTAGTAGAGATATCATTATATATTAAATTTACAGCCTTGCATTGCAAAACCAGAATAACCAAGAGGAACTTCCAGTAAGTAGTCTTGCCTGTTTCCCTGAGAACAAGGTTGGGGAAGAACTCCAACAACAGAAGGATGATTAGGTGATGAAATCCCAGCCTCCTCTGCATAGTTGAGAAAACGTAATTTTAAGTAGACAAAACACATTATAGAGCTAAAGAATTACTCAGACATTGATACCAAAATAGATAGCGAAAGACACAGGCACCCAAAAATCAATTTGCATTCTACATTCTTAAGTTCAGAGTATAGGACCAGAAAAGTTAAAGTCCGCAACCATACTGATTGCAAAATTCTACATTTTCACCTAGGAATAGCAGGGTTATGGGCAAAACAAGGGGCCAGGGGGCAACAAGAGCAAATTGAAGCCAGAAAACTTTCACTCCAAAAGACTACATAACCAGTAAAATGATGAATGCACTACCAGCTATAACATTTGTGGGTATATAATAAGGAAGGTGGGCAAGCTTGTGTTCTTCAGCATCATACTTTATAACATACACCATCCCATGCTCATCTCCGAGATACCTAAAGGTAATGACAGGGTAACGACGTTAATAATCAACTATGTCACTTATATTTGCAGGAAAGAAATGCTAAATTGATGATGTTATTGTAACAAGGTTTCAAAGTGATTTGTACATGTAGCTAGTGCCATGAATGACTTTGAAAGCAGTTATATTGGACTCCCACTGTATATGGGAAGCTATTTGCCTTTGTTCCAAATCCCAGACCTGCCAGCATCAATAACCTATTATTAACGCAATCATAGAAGCCAGCATACAGATAGAAAGGATAGGAGGAAAAAAGAATATATCCGTTCTGAACATCAAAGGCATGCAGCTAGAAATGCACCTCTCCACAAGAAACACGAGTAAGGTGTATGAACAATCAAATACCTGAATCTCATTTTCATTTGACACGCTAACAAGGAAACCTTGATTTTGTATAAACTGTAAAGAATAATCAAAAGTATCACAACGAAAGAAAATCATTTGTAAAAGTATACAAAATAAAGCCACCATAATAAAACAGATAACAAAGAAAGGAAAGACAACACATAGAAAATGCACAAACGATGGAACGCCTAGAGCTAGAATTATTTAAGCATCTGAAATGGAAACAAAATCACAATATAATTGCTGAAAGACACAACAAATTTAACCAAATACAGCAACATGAACACCAGCAATCCAACAAAAAATCAGTCTCCATGTTTGAACTTACAAACCTCCAAGTTTTTGATAGGTAACTGCTTAGGAGACACTAGAAGCGCTTCTACGTTTTCACCACCAATCACTTTTATCCTCCCATCCCTAACACCAGGTAAATATCATACAATTCATTAAGAAAGCAAAAATTTCACCATAACAGAATCAAAGGAATTAATACTTTGCAATTTTTCATCTAAGCAAACATCTCTACTTAACTAAATTAGAGAAACGGAAATAACTAACTTTGCAATGAATTAAACAATGTTTGATGTCGATGAATGCTAAAAATTCGAGACAAATAAATGGAAACAAAAATACTATAACTACTAACAATGTTCCAACTGCAACGAGTCGTTGGATGTGATCACAAGCCAGAACCGAAGCAGTCGCCGGAATTCCATAGTGTACGGTCACACGGGGATTTAAATCTGCCGACGTCAAACTTCCTTTTGCAACATCACTCTGCCAAATTATTTCCATTTCAGTTAAAAAAAAAACTAGATGTTATAGCATTTCATTGAAATTTCTAGCTGAATTACGTTCCATTAAATATTTTACATTTAACGACCAAAACAAGAAAGGAGAATTTCGATTAAACCTTTGGAGATTGAGGTGAGGCGCCTTGGTTGTGGAAGAATTTGGTGAACATCGGCGAATCGATTGAGCTGATTCTCTGTTTTTACGATGGGGATTCCCTTTGGAGTTTGTTTGTTTTGAAACAGAGCAAATGACGACGATCATGAGATGCGGGGAGGGGGGAATCTTCGTCTGGGTTCGTGGATTCGAAAAATCGACCGTGATGCGAGAGGGGGATTGGATTTCAGGGACCGTACGATTCCCGTGCTAATTTTGAGAAGAAAGCAGGGACCCAGTCAGAAAATGGCCAAGTGTCCCGCTCAGATTATTTGGATTTGTTACACCTAATCATCACTTTCACTCTCACCTCCTGCGTCTTTTTTCTTTTTAAATATCTTAAAATACTCTTCTCTCTTTTATATTTATATATATAAAAATTGTTGAATATCTACGTTATAAAAAAATAAAAAATTTTATCTTAATTTCTGTAAAAATAAACAAGAGACAAATATTTACAGGTGAAATAAGTGTTTATTTAAATGTGTATCAGTTCATTAATTTGTATTATTTTCGTAGTTATATTAAAGTACATATATTCAACTAACATATCATAAAAAATTTTGAAAAAACTTTGAAAATGTCATATTCTAAATATATATAGAGGAGTATATGATATTGTATAATGCTTAGGAGTACTGAATAATAATAATAATAAATAAAACATTCTTGTCATACATTATGAAATGAATAATAATTTTTACCGAAGGGACAACGGGAGTAGCTCGTTCAACCACGGCATGATTCACCTACATTTTTTGTAATTTTAATTTTTTTAAATTAATATCTCGTGAATAATTTTTATTTTTATTGAAAATCATACTGTTAATTTTGTTTTGTAATTAATTTGAATAATTTATTGCGCAAATCAAGCTAATCACAAACTTGTGTTCATGATTTTGACCATAAAAGCAAGTGGACCTTATGCCTAATCCTCATAACATAACCAAATATTCAAACTCAAATTGGTCTAAAAAATATGTTAAAACTTGGCCTTTTATTCATAAAAATTATTGCTTTTTGTTAAGTCATTGCCCCAATGACTCCTTGCCTTTCTGCCTCAAAAGTGAGACCACGTCAGATTTAAAAAGATAGGATCAGTGACCAGAATTAGAATTTCGCATTTGAAGATAAAATAATATTTATAAAATAGTTATATTAAAAATTTAATATTTGGAAAAATAAAAATATATTATAAAATTTTTAAAATTTTGAAAGTCGGGTCCTACTAGACAAGACCAGTTTCAATGTCTCCGGTTTCAACCATTGATGCAAAGGTTCCATGCTTATGGCGTGACAATAGTCTATGACTCGGTCCAAAATATGCAAAAGATTATATTCCAAACATTTAAAAGGAAAACACCCCAGTAGAACAGAGCAGACCCGTGCAATCAGAACCTGTTAACATTGAGGACGCAACTTCCCTCAAAACAAGGCAGCAGACTGCCACTTCCCTGCAAAAAGTTGAGCATTTCTTGGATTGGTAATAGAAAAACCGAAATATTTCAGTGGCATGGGCATGGCTGGCCGCTATTATTGAGATTCATTACTATATAGACTTAGATACTAAAAAACTAATTGAGTTATTTTTTATTTGTATTCATATAAATTTCTTTATCAATTTCCATGAAAAGGGATTATTAATACTAATAATTGAGAAAATTTCATCTTTTAAAGTCTAAGTTGTCATGGTCAATTACATGCTATTATAAATAGTGTTACATTATTTGATATTTAATGTATTACCTATTTAATTTAAATTAAAGTGCCAAATAAAAGCACACCTTTCATTGATATTATGGTCCCATGCAACATAACCTTTGGTAACATTTGCTTTTGCTAACTCATGCTTAATTAATTAACATTTTGGCCCCCACACGTGTGAAGCACTCAACTTCTCTATATATTTCAATACTTTTGTAAATCATTAGATTAGCCAAGAGCGCTCTGTTTTTTCTTTCCATTTTTTCATGCCATGGCATCTTCTTCTCACAAGCAACAGCAACACTTACCAAACTTGTACGGCGCCACCGCGGCCCCACCGCCAACCCCATCCGCGCAACCCAATCACCACCTCGTCACGTCATCAGCCACCGCGGATGCGCTTTCCAAGCTCCTCCACCGTCTCCCTCCAACTCTCTCCCTCCCTACTCGCCGCTTGGCCCCATCCGTCGAGTCTCCTCCTACCGTCTCTTTCTCTGACCCTAACCTGAAGGATCTCCTCCTCTCCTCCGGTTCCAAACTCGGGTTCTTCCAACTCACAAGCCACGACGTATCTTCCCGACTCGCTAACTCTGCTGAGACCGAGTCACTCTCTCTCTTTGAACTCCCTAAAGAGCAAAAAGAATCATGTTTCCCCAAGAACTGGCCTCTAGGCTTCAATGCCGATGAGGAAGAAGGTGGGGAGGGAAAGGGTGAGTCATTTTGCTTGGATGCTACGTGTTCAACCGAGTCAAGAAACCTGTCATTGAGTTCTCTACGTGAGCTCACTCGGGCTTTAGAGAAACTGGGGTTGAAGATCATCGACACGTTGGCAAATGCAGTAGGGTTTGAGAACCCGATAGGAGATGATCCGAACCGGTTTTGTTCTTTGATGTGGATATCAGAGGGTTTGCATGGGGATGATAAACCCTCGGGCGGGTTTTACCCGTATGTAATTGGGTTACAATATCAAATCAGGTGCCAAAAATATTCCTTGTTGTCGGATTCGGGTTGGCTTTCGGTTTCACCCGAAGTGGACTCCATCATGGTCACTCTCGGTGACATTGCTCAAGTAAGTTTTATCTCATAGTAATGATTTAGTGTTTGCCTAGCATTTGTTTAAACTTGCTACCCTATCCCGTCCTAAATCTAAATATACTCGTATTTTATATAATCATATTGAATAATTCGTAATTTTCGGAATTAAGAAATGATTGTTTCACGAATTATTATATTTACATTTGCTACTTCAATATTGGCTGTGAAATTTTAAATTAACATGTATCTATTTAAGATATACTTAAAAATTTTTATTTGATTATGAAATAGATATATGATAATCATATATATATATAATTTCATTTGAAGAATAAACAATTTGTGATTTTTGATATGGAGAATAAGTTAATAAATCTAACTTTTCCCCTAATTAACGTTACTAAAAAATGTTTGATAGGTTTGGAGCAATGGGAAACTAAGGAAAGTGAGGGGAAGACCGGTGGCGGTGCGTTTAGATGATGAAAACAGCTCTCGTCGTATATCAATGTCACTGTTATTGACACTTCCGATGGATAGTCAAGTTGCTCCTGTCCTTACCAAGGTTATTGCTGGCGATGAAAATGACAACGATGATGAAATTGGTACCAAGGGAAAGAAAGAAGAGAGATTGTTTACTTCATTTTCCTTTGAAGACTATGCATGGAGAGCTTATCATGAATGCCTCCTCTTCAAAGATCCACTTGATAGATACCGCATCTAAAGTTTCTATACATTGAATAATTTTCAATCTTTCTAAGCAAATGGAAATTTGACAATAAAATAGTACAATTTGGTTTTCGATTTCCCTCTTTGTTTATTTTATATTTGTTTTTTATCAATTCATTTTATTAAATTTTACGACGAAAAATAATTTCATCATAAAAAATCTAAACATTGTTAGTAAAAAAATTAGCAACAAGATTATGGTAAATGTGAGAGGAAGAATTTGTCTTTTCTTTTGCTTTAAAATAAAATTTTTATCTTAATTTTCGTGAAAATATAAAAAAAAATATATTTAGAGACAGAAAGAGTCTATAACAATATTAGATTTAACAAGTTTCAAGTTCTTGAGAGGCAAAGGGGCCTGAAATAAGTCATACAAGAGAGCCCAAAAGAAGTCTAGTTATCAAACCAAGCTGTAAATAATGAGTTACAAATGTTTATTCAAAGCTTTGGGCCTTTTTCCTTTCAAAAAATATTGGGCCTTCAACAAAGCCCATTAATTATAACTCCAAAACAGGATAAAGCCCATTGGGTTTTGAATTATGTAATCATATTGGCGTGAAGGGAACCCCATACATGGACATGATTGTATTTCAAGGCATATGTCAAGGTGAGCCTTGTCTCCACGGCAATTGGTTGAGTACGAAAATATTTGTCCTTGAAAAGGGATTATAGCTGTGGAGTAAATCTCATTCCATAGACAAAAAAAGTTAATGTAAATTGATAGTGATAGTTACAATAAAAAAACTATAAGAAAACTTAATCCGAATTGAAAAATTGCTCTCATTTCTTTTAAAGATCGTAATAGGTGCTTTATAATCAACTATTTTACTTTATTTGACATAGGGTATTGTATAATCAGATTTGAATATGATTAAAGTAATAAAATTACTATGATCACTAGTTCAAATAGAATTCAAATAATGATAGTAAGATATCCATTACTTAGATTCAATTATAAATAATCGAATTCAAATAAAATATAAATAAACAAATTTTAATCGAACTTAGATTTATACTCAGATATCTCAAAATTAACGAATATCCCATTTACCGTGATTTCTAATTTCTTTGATAGGGTGAAGTATATTATACTCAGTATAGCTGCCTTGGCTTGGAATAAAAGCGATGGGTCACCCATCAAACTACCACCAAAAGGGAGTGAAGTGAGTTACTACACAAACCCAAAGTTTGATTTCTCCATTCTGATGTACTTTCAATGCACAAGGAATATCAAAAAAGGTTCCTTAGCCTTTACTTTTCTCAAACATAAAGTTACTAATAATTAAGAATTCTGATTTTTTTTCTTTTTTTTTTAATTTTTTTTGAGACTTCAAACCAAATAGAATCATCATTATTATAAAGAGCCTTGGTAATGCATCAACAGCCCATTGCCTATAGTTGTTGTGGACAAAGAAAGATCACATGACATTTGATCATATATTATGAATTTAAATATATATGTTTACACAATTTTTGGTTTGGAGGAAGTCGATAATTATGATTAGAAGTGTTATTAAACATTGCACCAACTAAAAACATTGACATTTGAAAGGATGATTAGGTGAATTTTTGACTAATTGACCATAATCACTTTTACAAACAAATACCCTTTGAAAAAATGAGGATACTATTAGTAAGATTTTGTTTTTGTTTTTACATTTTTTATAAATTGAGAAAGGTGAATATGATGTCTTCAAATTCATTTTTATCACTAGATTAGTATGATTTTTTATTTTCTCTTCCATGTGAAAAAGACGAGATAATAAAAGAGAAAAGATTACATTATGGGTACCGTAAATACACTCGTTAAAATTATTACTATTATGTATCGAATTAATTGAGATATGAGGTGAAAAACAAGTGAAGAATTTCATTATTATTCACTAGTGTAGTTTTGGTAATCATATTAAGCTTGTAGCAGTTAACAAACAGGCTTCTTTCTCTGTTTTTTTTTTGTTTAAATTTGGGTACCATAACAACATTTGTATGGTTATGGCATCAAGATTATCTTGTTTGACTTGTTGTGACCAAGAATGCTGGCAACTTCGATTTGTTTATAGAACTCACTGTTGTTTTCTGATAATCTTTTTGCTCTCTTGACCTCAGCTCTGCTGTGGTCCAAATGTTAGGGGGACCTGCCTACCATTCTTCAATTTTTATTTATGGAGTAAACCCCACAAATAACAAACATGATTAGACATACTTAATTTGTTCCCCTAAGTCTCCATGGATAAATAGGAAAAGCTTGCAGGGAAATAAGCTTTTCTGCATCTTATAATCTTTAATGTCATTGATCTGGTCTTAAGCTTTCTGAAAGAAAATGATAGAATGGGTTCTTAGAGGGTAAACGGTTGATGAAAAAAGCATCAGAGCCCTCGATTTTATCTGACCCCCACATACAGGAACAGTCTCTACCATCTAATGAGCATACATTATCATCCTCCAGGCTGTTGACCCAAAAGGGTTTTTTGACTTAACAATGGGGGAATCTGACATAGGGTTATAGCCAACATAAGTTTCCATGTCTGATGAAGCTTCCATGTCAGAATCTAATTTTTAACATTGGGTTCTACCAGATAGTTTACAACACCACACCTACAACCTCCAATGTACAAGTCCCAATCTTAGGTAGATTAAGACCAACTTGCCAAAGCTTTGAACTCACTCCTCACAGGTTTGTCTTTCTGGCACAGAACATAAACAGGAGGGTGAAAAGGAAGTAGTTAGCAATGGAACTGTAAAGAAATAAATATAGAAAAAAAAAACTGAGAAAGACAACTCTCCCTCCACCAGAAAGCCTAACCAGTTTCTTGAAGAAAAACCCTTCTCACCAAACCTGAATTAAACAAACATAATCAACCAAATACATATTGTAATAAGTCTCTCTCTCTCTCTCTATCTATCTTTCTCTCCAACATACTGTATTTGTTCATCAGTTCTTTCCCTCTATATTTTCCATCCCTCTTCCCTTCTTTCTGCTCAAAGCATTCTTCAGTTCTCATGCAGCCAGGTCGTCGTAAAACTCTCTTCACCGAAACAGGAGTCATGAAGCACCGCAAGAACAATAACCTTTCCATATTCGTTGTAGTGTTCTCCATATTTTTGTTTGGGGTGTTCATGTATAATGAGGACGTGAAGTCCATAGCGGAGTTCCCATTTTCAAGGCCTAAAGGTAGTGATATCCAAGAGGAGCGATCCAAACAAGGCAACCCAGTTCAAGAAGGTATCAAGAACGAGAAGGAAAGCGCGGTGTCATTGAATTCAAGAACTTCAGTAGAAGAAGAAGAAGAAGACACCAAAAGAAAGATTCCTGATGAAAAAACAAAGGAACCTGATGACTTGAAATCCATGGTGGTGAAAGATGATGAGCAAAGGCTTACAGTTGAAGAAGATAAAGGAGATGAGGAGAAGATAGAGGAGAAACTAGAAGAACAGAAGACAGAGCTACCAGTCATTGAAGAAGATGATGAGGATGTCGAATTGCCTCCGGAAGACTGTGATCTCTTCACAGGACAGTGGGTTTTTGACAATGAAACACATCCTTTGTACAAAGAAGATGAGTGCGAGTTTCTTACGGCACAAGTTACTTGCATGAGGAACGGAAGAAAGGATTCTTTGTATCAGAATTGGAGATGGCAGCCTAGAGATTGTAATTTACCCAAGTAAGAGCATTTATATACTGTTTCTTGTTTCTTTGTTAAATTCTATAAGATGCTGATGATTTTGATATGCTTTTTTACCTGTTAAGGTACAAACCAAGATTGTTGCTTGAGAAGCTGAGGAATAAGAGGCTTATGTTTGTTGGAGACTCATTGAACAGAAATCAATGGGAATCCATGGTTTGTCTGGTTCAATCTGTTGCCCCTCCTGGAAGGAAGAGCTTGAACAAGTCAGGGTCCCTCTCTGTGTTCAGAATTGAGGTAAAATTCCCCACTTGGCAAGATTTGATTGGATGCCATTTTCTTCTGGTATTCATTAAGCTTTCTGACAAAAATTTGTTTAGTATAATATAATGCTTTTTGTCTTTCGTGAATGATTCATAACCATAATGACATCACACGGGTGCTTTATTTTATAGTAGACAATATGATCATCCAAGTTTTTGCTGAATATTAAAAAACACTAGGCATTTTCTGAGTATTTTATGGAAGCAAAAAGACAAGCTTCATATCTGGACGTCCCCTTTACTTCCTATCCCATCATCCCCAGGAAAAGCAGAAAAAAAAAATTAAAGAAGACCAAGTTCGTGGACCTTGCCTAGGAACTGTCCCAAAGGAGCAATTGTGATTCTGAAACCATCTGTCTTTTGCAGGACTACAATGCCACAGTGGAGTTCTATTGGGCCCCTTTTCTGGTGCAATCAAATTCAGACGACCCCAACATGCACAGCATCTTGAATCGTATAATCATGCCTGAATCAATCAAGAAACATGGCAAGAACTGGAAGGGTGTGGACTATTTGGTCTTCAACACATACATCTGGTGGATGAACACTTTCACCATGAAAGTCTTGTAAGTAAAAACGGATCAATGTTTTCATTTGATTTGATTAAATTATGTTTCTTTTTGGAAGTGGTAATCTGATAAGGGGGGGTGGATATCTGTTCTTTTGATTGGTGTAATAGACGAGGGTCGTTTGATAAAGGGGACACTGAATATGATGAGATCGAACGGCCAGTAGCATACAACAGGGTCTTGACCACATGGTCTAAATGGGTTGATAAGAATGTGAATCCAAATCGAACCACTGTCTTCTTCAGCAGCACGTCTCCTCTTCATATCAAGTAATTAATCACTTGTCATCCTTCTAAGTTTATTTCTATAGCTTGTGTAGAAACATAGGACATCAGTGGAGTATTTTGCAATAATTTGTGAGTAGCTATAACTAACTTCACGAGATCACCTAACCCTCTTAAGTTTTTAACTCGCTGTCTCTTTGAAGAAGATAACTGCTTCAAAAGCAACCTAAGCATTTGACAGATTCCCCTTGTGCAATGCACTTAACCATGATTACAGTTCAAAGACTGAGGTTAATTCAAAGTTTTAAATCTTCTTCTGATTGTCTTTAACTGTCATTGTTGTTGGAATAAAGTATCTCATTTAGGACAGTCCTAGTGGTTGACAGTGGGCCTATGACCTCTCAACCAATAATAATTAAACCAAAACTGTTGTCCTAATCTTTTGGTTGGTAAATAAAACAACCATACCCATGTGTTTTCCAGCTTAGAAGAAAGATATCTACCCATGATCGGTGTATCATTCTTTTGCTCGAAGAGCACGATTCGAACCTTCCCTTCCTGAAATTAAAAATGATTAGTAGTATATGTTTCAACTGACATGATTTCTTAAATTTGAGGCTTTCATTCAAACCTGACATAATGTGCAACCAACCTACCGATGTCTGCAGGAGCTTGGACTGGAACAACCCGGATGGGATCAAGTGTGCCCTGGAGACTACCCCAATTCTGAACCAGTCCATGTACCTAAACGTGGGCACTGACCGCAGGCTGTATGTAGTTGCCAGCAACATCACTCAAAACATGAAAGTTCCTGTCCATTTCATTGACATCACAAGCCTTTCCGAGTACAGAAAAGATGCACACACCGCAGTCTACACCATCCGCCAAGGCAAAATGCTGACCCCGGAGCAGCAGGCGGACCCGGCCACATATGCTGATTGTATCCATTGGTGCCTTCCAGGGTTACCCGACACGTGGAACGAGTTCATCTACGCACGTATCATCTCTCACTCGTGACACATGGCACATACATAAATTCACATTATCCATTTACTTAATTTTTTTTCTTTTTTTTTCCTTTTTTGGTATGGCTCCATTGCCTCAGTCATGGTTTTCCTTGTAAGCATCTGTAAGTTTTACTTCCAACATTTGATCGGATGTTAGCTTCATATAGGGTGGAAAAGTATAGGGGATGGACCATCAAAAAATTTTTGGTTTTTTCCTGTTGTTGATTTAATGGGGACTGAGGTGGGAGCCAAGAATGCCAAATTTCCATCACTCACTGATCAAAAAAGCTGGCCTAAGCCAATGCACAGAGCACTTGTATAATGCAATTTGTTGAAAAACTTGGAAAAAGGAAATAAAGGGTTCATACAAACAAAAATTTCCTTTTCATACACTATCATTTCTTCTTCATTTTTGTTGTTTTATATACTAAGAGCTTCTTGATCTAATTGGTTGTACTTCAACATAGTCTATGTTCAATTCAGAGGAACATTGCTTCAAGAACCATAGAGATAAGTCCCAGTGTGTCCGATCTTTCAATGGGCAAAAACTGCTTCATCAGCCCTGATACACACAAGAAAACAAGTCTTGTAGGTAAAAAACATTAGCAAAGACAAGCCAGTGCCATTAACTAAAGCATGTCAAGAGTATTAAACAGCTGTCCATAAGCAAAAAGGCAAGGCTTTAACAAAGTTCAACTGGACTGACCCTCTTGGATTCTAGATGTTTAGGCCTTTGTACATGGGCAAGTTCCATCAAGGTGCCAAAAATCTCACCATAAAAGGGAAAAAAAAAAGAAAGAGTGTTTCTGCTCCCTCCTTACAATATAGAACATGTCAGTCAGCAAGAGTTCCTTAATTTACCTAGAGGTATATAAGACTTCATTGACAATTAACAGCACCCTTTGGTAATCAAGTTAAGAGGTCCATTAATCTGTCTTACCCTTATCTTAATTTTGGATTTGCCAGTTACTTACAGTTGATTGAGATACTAAATCCATCTCCATACCAGATATGCTTTCCATAATGTTCCTATCTTCTGACGAAAAACAAATGGTTCCCCTCCATAGCACAAGGGGATGTAGCTCAGATGGTAGAGCGCTCGCTTAGCATGCGAGAGGTACGGGGATCGATACCCCGCATCTCCATCTTCCTATTTTATATTTTCCCAAAATTTTTGCCTATATGTATGCCTTGTTATTTCCCTCACAGCATAAGGTTTCTCACATTCTTTCTAAACTTGAGCCATGAACACTAGCAAAAGGAAAACAAGCTGCTCAGAGTGCAGACTTCAAAAACAAAAGCTTCTCTGCTTGCAGTTACGGCAATGACTTGAAGCAGTAACTTACACGGTTACACCTCATGCAACATTGATTCTTAAGAAAATTGTAATGAAAGCAGGCAGGCACGTGGCCCTGCTGCATGTGCACATGACAGTAGGGGCAGCTGCTTAATTTTGTGGCATGGGGAGCAAGGGATATAAATGTAAATCCAAGAATAAAGAAAGACAGGTAGAGAAAGACGGGTAAAATTATATCCTTTTTAATACCAGAACTTAGCTCCTATTGGTAAGCCATGCTAAAAGCAGAACCCCTTACGTTAAGGGGTATGGATTAAATAAGTGGCTAGTGATTACTATCTCAAGAAAAAGAAAAGGAAAAAGCATAAAAGTTTGGCTTAGCAGGTGGTCAGTGAAGAGTGAAGACCTTACTTTTATAGCATTAGTCTATAATTTACAGGTTTTCTTAATCTTAGATGAGCCAGGTGCTCGTGCCTATAAAAAATTAAATGGTAACAAGTAATCTATCCACTGTGTGTAGTTTTCTAGTCTAAAGTGGTCTAATGGAATCAACGAGATACTGAACTCTAAATTCTTTCTCCAACGTTGTAGATATCAACATATCCTGAATGGGTTCAGTTTTCTTTTGTCGGATATGAAGATTGAAGTCAGAACCTGATCAAAAAGAGAAGGTAGGGAAAGAGAAATCTTGTTTCTGCAGCCAGCGGCTAGTTGAAGTCAACCACTCCAGGTTAGTTGTTTTCCTTTTGCTTCTTCTCTGATCTTTGTCTTGAATTCCTTCTCATACTTAACCTTTGCTGTTTCATCTTTCACCCAAGCTGTGAAGCTATGAAGCACAGCTGCTGCGGCATCAGCCATAAAAGTAAAAGCTACTATCAAGTACTTGTTCTGGTTTCCCTGATATTGATACTTCTATTCAAATGGTTTATCTACAAAGGAGATTTTAGACAGGTGGCGAGGTCAATTTTCTTGTCAAGATTTAGATCTCTAGGCATCCTGGAGGAAGATGGGGAGGTTAAGCTGCCACCAAAGGACTGTGATGTGTTCACAGGGAACTGGGTTTTTGATAATATAACTCATCCTTTGTATAAAGAAGAGGAATGTGAGTTTCTATCAGAACAAGTGACTTGCATCAGGAATGGTAGACAGGATTCACTTTACCAGAACTGGAGATGGCAACCCAGGGATTGTTCTTTGCCCAAGTGAGTATATCAGTTAGCATTTCCTAATTGTTTCTTAAGGAATAAAAAGGCTATAGTTAATTTTCTTTCTTTATTATTGGTATGGTAAGATTCAAAGCAAGATTATTGCTTGAAAAACTTCGTGGAAAGAGGCTTATGTTTGTGGGGGACTCATTAAATCGGAACCAGTGGGAATCCATGGTTTGTCTGCTTCAATCTGCTGTTCCTCCAGGCAAGAAGAGCCTCGGAAAGTCAGGTTCTCTAGTTATCTTCAGCATGGAGGTATATCTCTTCCTTTACTCTCTAATCAGTTTAAGATGGTAGCATTCAGATCTTTTAAAGAATTAAGCATGGTTTTCTCTCAAAACCCTTCATGCTTTAACTAATGAAAAAAATCAAATCTGTTAAAGAATACTTAAAGAGTTCTTGTCTTGCCGACAAACTGTCTCATTGCTTCCATCCATGATAGGGGCAAGTTGGAAAGGAAATGCTTTTTTTTTTCTATATAATTTTATGAAAAGATGTGCACATGAAAGAATGGGGTAATGGAATTGAAATTTTTATGCTTATCCCCATCTCCATTATTAATTTCCCTTAACTCTAGTTTCTGGGGCCAGTTGGATGTGACATTATGTCTTAAATGCTAGCATAGGAGTACAACACCTCGGTGGAGTTCTATTGGGCACCGTTTCTGGTTGAATCTAACTCTGACAATCCATGGCGGCACAGCGTAAAAGACCGTATAATCATGCCTGAATCAATCAAGAACCGTGGAGATGATTGGAAGGGTGTAGATTACTTGGTTTTCAACACATATATATGGTGGATGAACACTGGATACATTAAAGTCTTGTAAGTATAAAAAAGGGTTTTTGATTCTGCTATGAGCTATATCTGCAGAAAAGCCAAGCAGGAAAGCTTATTCATTGTGGTTGATACATTTTTCATCTTTGATGTTTGTTTGGAAAGACGAGGATCGTTTGATGCAGACCCCATTGAGTATGATGAAATCGAGCGGCCTATAGCTTATGGGAGAGTTCTGAAGACATGGGCTAATTGGGTTGAAGCAAATATTGATTCCAAGTTTACTTCCGTCTACTTCATGAGCATGTCCCCTCTTCATATCAAGTATTCAGTGTTTTAGATCACTTAATTCTGTTCTTTTTGTTGTTCATTTCCATTGATTTTAACCTCTTGGATGTGGAACAGGAGTTCGGATTGGAACAACCCGGATGGAATCAGGTGTGCTAAGGAGGCTGTTCCAGTGTTGAACATGTCCACACCGCCAAATGTTGGCACAGACCACAGGCTATTCCCGGTAGTAGCAAATGTGACTCAATCCATGAAAGTTCCGGTCTACTTCCTGAACATCACCGCCCTTTCTGAGTATCGAAAAGATGCTCATACATCTGTTTATACCACTCAGCAAGGCCAGCTGATAACGCCAGAGCAGCAGGCTGATCCAGACACATATGCAGACTGCATACATTGGTGCCTACCAGGGTTACCTGATACATGGAATGAGCTCCTCTATACGCACATCATTTCACACTCTTGACCACCTATGATTTCTTTTTGTCTTTTACAGATTGATGAACTACAAATTGGAATTCAATATGATTTGTTAAAGAATTCTTGAGTCAGTTTGTGTAGCTGCACAGAAAATTCTCAAGAACATGCTGCTACCTTACATGCTTGTATCATTTTCTTCTCAAATTTAATCAGAATTTTTTTTTCCCAAACCCATCCTCGCTTTTTCCTGATGACATTGAATTCAAGTTACCACAATCTTTTTAAGGATGAAATTTGAAAGCATTTGCTTTGCAAAGATTCTCTGCCCCCACAATAGGGGAGGAGTTTGGTTTGGTTCTAGCTCATCATTGAGTGATTAGTTTCTTAAAGTCAATACCTAATTATTTATTTATACATATAGATTTGTCCTGCTTCAACTTTCAATGTCAAAATCAGTAGCAAGACCAAAAGCAAATAAGAGACAGTAGATCAAAGATTTGTTGACTTGCTTTCTGATGGTCTCATGGTTTCGAGTTTCGTTTTGTTTTGTAATTAAGCTGTAGGGGTTCAAGTTTGAAGTTTCAGGCTTTTTGCTGTGTTAATATGTTGTCAAAGAAAGGTTCAGAGTGTTGGGAGGAGCTGATTTTGTTTTTTTCTTTTGAACAGGAGTATTGGGAGGGTATACTGTTACAGGATAGAAGCATACCAACCAATATTCCTGTTGTTCGACGTGGTTGCTCGCCATGGTCCTTGTAAAGGGGGGGAAACCCATTTTCCCAGCTTTTAATGATATTCTTATTTTAATTTTTTTTTAAAAAAAAGATCAAAGATTCCAGAAATGGCATAGATCAGCAAGATATCTGCTTCTTCATTGTAAGGAAAACTCTACAGCAGGTCCAGGCAATTTTCAAGGTTGCTAATTCCTTCTGACAAAGGAAGCTATACTCACCTTTGCTTTCAATCTCTTTCTGTCGTTTGTAAGCATTTTTAGCATTTCTAAATCTGATAAGGCTCTGACAAGGCAACTTAACAGTTATTATAAACATGGAATCTTTCAAAAGAGGACAACAGCTTTTACCAGTTAAAATACATCAAACAATTGTAAGTAGGTGCAGATACATATAAAATTATAAAATGGTATATTTATAATATAATAAGAAATGGCAGGTTGACTTACAGCTACCAAAACAAGAAGTTTTCTATTTAGATTTCAAGACAGAGAAGAGGAAAAGAATAGAAGCGAAGATTATCCTAACATCCATCCATAGCCATAAATTTGTTATTTGATCAAGCTGATCTTGACTCTCTGATAGAAATAAGTAACAATGAAGCATGTCGGTATGACCCAGAGATGCAATTACTCCCCAATATTAACCATAGTAGTTTTTTCAACTTTATTCTTTGGATTCTTTTTGTACAGTGAATACAGGAAAAGGATTCCACTGCCAGATTTCAAACACCAAAAGCCCTTCCAGGAATCCTCCAACACAAGCAATGTTGAAATTCAAGAAACAGACAAGGAACACAATGATGGAAAAGCTAAGGTAGAGACAAAAGGAGGTACTGAAGAAAAGTTTCAAGGTAGCAATGATTCGAACTTAATCACAGCAGAAGAAAAAAAGGATGATGGTGACAACAAAAGGATTGTTTTCCCACAAGAAGGGTGTGATATCTTCAGAGGAGAGTGGGTTTTTGATAATGGCACACACCCTTTATACAAAGAAGAAGAGTGTGAGTTTCTCACCGAGATGGTGACATGCCAGAAGAACGGAAGGCCAGATTCCTTATACCAGAAATGGAGATGGCAGCCCAGGGATTGCTCTTTGCCCAAGTAAATATTTCTTTCCTTTCTTGCTCAGAAGCGGGTCAATTCATCCCTTTTAGTTTAATGATTTTCTCCTTTCTGGGTTAAGGTTTGATGCAAAATTGTTGCTGGGGAAACTTCGAGGAAAGAGGCTTATGTTTGTTGGAGACTCCATACATTTTAACCAGATGCTATCCCTGGTTTGCATGGTTCAATCTGTCATCCCACCAAAGAAGAAGAGCTTCAGTTATGCAAGCTATGCCACTGTCTTTAAAATGGAGGTAATTGAGTTGCTGTTTCTCTTTTTCTTTTTTCTCTTTTCTCATGGATTGATTCAAAATTCATGTAACTTGAGACAGAGAAACAGTTTTTCTGCCTTAAAATCAAGTAAACAAAGAGAGGAAGGTGAAGAAAATTTTGTTAAAAAAGTTATAGCTACTTGAACTGTAGGAATATAATGCTACAATGGAATTCTACTGGGCACCATTTTTGGTTGAGTCCAATGTAGACCCTCCAACAAGGAGGGATGGCACAGTGGATCCTGTGATCAAGCTTGAATCAATCTCAAAGCATGGAGATAACTGGAAAAATGTTGACTACCTCATCTTCAACACATATATTTGGTGGAGGTACCCGACCATGAAAGTATTGTAAGTACTCTGCTCGAGTTTCTTTAACTTCGAATTTATATTCAATGCACGATCAATGTACATTATCACTTAATCACGGAACATTTACTCTTCTTCCTTCGAAACTGATTGAAAAGACGAGGATCTTTCGATGATGGGGTGACAGATTATGTCGAAATCGATCAGGGTATAGCATATGAGAGAGTTTTGAGGTCATGGGGCAACTGGCTGGAAGAGAATGTTGATTCGAATCAAACTTCAGTTTTCTTCAGCAGTCTAGCGCCTTCACATATGAAGTATAAACAAAGCAAAACTTTCAATCTCAACTCCTCATTCTAGACAAAGTTTTGCTTAAGATAGCTCTTTATGTAAACATCTTGTGTATGCAAAATTGCAACAGGAGCTCTGCCTGGAATAACACAAGCGGGATCAAGTGTTCCAATGAGACAACTCCGATTCTAAACATATCTAGGTCGCTGTATGTGGGAACAAATCGTCTGCTTTTCACAATTGCGGTGAATGTCAGTCGATCCCTTGAAGTACCTGTTCACTTCCTCGACATCACCACCCTTTCCGAATACAGGAAAGATGCACATACCTCTATTTATGCAGCACCCGGAGGCAAGTTGCTGACTCAAAAACAAAAGTCTGATCCAGCAACATATGCAGATTGTGTGCACTGGTGTCTTCCTGGCTTGCCTGATACATGGAACGAGTTGCTATATACGCTCATCATATCCCAGACTTGACCGAACCCCTATGATTTCTCGTTTTCGTCCCCCTTTGTCGGATGCAATGATTGATTCAATCCTGGAGGAGAATCTATCAGCCTGGTGTCTCAACGCAAAGTATAGGAGAATTGAATTTGAATCGCTGTTGTTTGGTCCGAACTTGAACCATGCAATATATGTAATGTTCATTGAAGAAACACTACATGTTAATGGTACAAAACCAATAGAGAGAGAGAGATAGAGAGAGAATACCACCTAATTCTTTTAAATTTAAATGTTTAGAGGGTTTTTTGTTTGTCCCTAATTTGATTGAGAACTTAAAGGATTATGCACGACTCCGGCAAGAAATCTTTTTTGTTAAATTTATTTTGCCTTTACATTCTTGATGTGAGACCTAAGATTCTATTTTTAAGTTGAATTCCTGATTATCTTGATTAGCTTTCTTGTCTATGTTATTGTTTTCTGTCAATTGAGAAGTGGTCAGCGTAAGCGAAGGAATAAGAAAGGTTGAGAAAAGGGGTTCCTGTGTTTATAAGCAAAGTTCCCTAATTTGATTCAGAACTTAAAGAATTACCCATGACTCAACAAAGAACAAAAACAAAGAATTGGGCCGGACACCACCCCGGCCATAGCTAGTGTTACCCACTCATGGATCCAATTTCATGAGGAATTGATGGGCCACAGGTAAGACCCACGATGACTTTCGGCTCCATATTGAATTAACGGGCATTCACAAAGCCCAACCCTGTCTATGCAAACCTTGACCATGCGACCGAAGAGCTGAGCCGGATCAACACTTTACCCAAGTGCCCCCGGTGTCTGTGCCTAAACCGAAGTCTAAACCATACGTCTATAGGGGTGGACATGGGAAGCAGTTCAATATATTTTATATTGCAGGCATAGGTCAACACTGGCCAGTGGGATAAGTGCACAAGTTTTGCTTTACATCAGTTTTTTGCCTGGTTTTTTTGTAAGAATCATGGTAAATTTTCATTACATGAACTTTACCTTTCTCTTTAAGGAGACAAACTGCAAAACCCAGGCTACATTTACATCTATTTTACATCGTAAAAACTACACTAAACCAAGCAGAGATGCAGCAAACCTACTTGGTTTGCACCACGCAAGCAGCATATTCCTTGCATATGCCGTGTTCGAAATCTTTTTAATAGCTTATCTTAATCTGTCCATGGCTCACCACCTTTATGCTCTTTGAGAAACATAGCTCCCGCCATTTACTACTCATTGTGCAGTCTCTTTGCATTAGTTTTCTTCTCTGCATCAGATCAAGTATCGTGTCAGTATCAAGTCATAGACCCCAAGCTCTCGAAATAAGGAGGGCAGAAAGCATGGACTTTTCTTCTTATTGTAAATCTGTTTGCAGTGCTTCGATTCTTGCCTCTTTGCTATGTACAATTCAAAAACGATTTCGAATGAGCTCTATCTTGGAAGAGCCTGGGATAGATGGTGGACACCAGACAGGAAAAATGCTCTCAGGTCTTCATCTGTCCACTCAGGAAGAAAACAAAATCCGATCTATCTCTTCGATTGCATTTACGTGCGTGCCTGGTAATAACAAACGTAACAAAGGTGCAGCAGACGATGAGATGTTCTTGGGCTTAATTTTGTCCACTGCTGTCTTGATTATAGGAGGGGCAGGTACACCAAACCATTGAAGATACCAAGAAAGAAGAGCTGAACTTTTCACTCCGAAGGATGGATCGCTAGGCCAACTTCCCAAGTTCAAATAATTACGCAAATCATCTTTTAATACCTCCGAACAATTTAGGAGTTCTTCGACCCGTTTCCTTAGAGACCCTAAGAATATGGACTGAACAATGCCACCTCTTGAAGTGGTCAACCTTCCACTCAACACAGCCTCATTATAAGACAGGGCAAGCTGTAAAAAAAGAAGGATAATCATAATTCTTCCTTACCAGTATTTCTACCAGAGATATTATACTCGTACAATGATAACTGCAAAAACTACTAAATGGAATCATCTTCAACTCATCAGTTAACATCAAACAGGCTACTATACATTGAAATATAGATGAAGGCGGAGCACTATAATGGAGTCTGGAAGATAAAACAGATAATCAACTTTCTTTAGTAATAAATTAGGACCATACAAATTCCAAAACGCCATACAAACACTACAGTAGGCAGATGGACACAGGAGCACCTGATTACCCAAAAGCCAAAATGAGCCCCTATCTCAACTTTGTTCATAACTTTCTAGAGTATATCCAGCATACTATCCTATATGTCACATTCAACACAAATTGGAAGCATTATAAAGAAGATTTTCATTCCTATATTTCTGAAATTAAAACAGAAATAGTTTTTCAACAAACAAGAACAAGTTCATATGCAATTTGTAATCATTACAACATAAGTATTTTAGTTATTTACATGACCACAAAACAAATATCCCACAACTTAAACAAAATAGTTGTACCAGGAAGCAAGCATACAATAGAGCAACTACGGAAAAGTACCTTCAAACTAGAGACGGATAGTGAGTTACTGACAACAACAGTACTACTGGAAACCTGCTCTGCCAAAGAGCCAATTGTGGTGTACAAGGACAAATAGACCTAAAAAGCAGAAACCCATAAACACTTAAAGCTTACTATGAGGACAGTCACATATTTAGGAATAGACAACAAGAGTAAAGTAAGCATAGACCAAAATATTTAAACATTTAAAAAAATGTGAAAAGATTTTTCCCTTGATAGTGATGAGAGTTGATCTGATTAACATTCCATTGGTATGCTAACCAATTAATTCATTTTCCAATTGACATTGCATAGCAATTGAGAAAGTCCTATATGATGAAGCAGAAATTTGCAAGGACTAAATCAGACTATTACCTGCAAAAGAGCTGGTCTGTCCTTGCTTATGCACTCAAATAATACTTGCAAGCAAAACTCTTGGAAATCAGCATCATACCTACGAGCATGTTAATGGCAGGTTATTGCTAGTAAACAACAATTTGAGAATCAAAAAACATAGTTTCTTACAAATATAAAAAAAAAGATGCATAGCAGATATCTCCATTTTCATTTTTCACCATCACTGCATCTAAATTTCAAAATACATGATAACATAGACACCTCAAACACGCAGAACAAACAATTTTCAACACTTCCTTTGAATTACCATTGCCATCCAAAATAAATCCTCAAAGTTCATGAGCAAACCATTCAAAAGACCATGAACAGAGCACCCAAATCTATGAACTGAAGAGCAAGAGGGAGGAGAGGGGGGAGGTTGGAAGGACAAATAAAGTCCAGCCCCATGCAAAAGGATACCGCATTGCCAGTTCTAGGAGTGGAGGCCTGTATCTGTCAAGATATAAAATGGAGATTTCTGGACTTGCCTGCTATTCCAGGAGAGGTCACAGCAAAGTTGTGCAAAAGCTATTAAGCTTGGATCAGATGAGAACGTGCTGACCAGCTGGTCAACAGTAACAGCAGCAGGTCCATTGTTGCTATTATTACTTGGATTGCTTGCTCTTAGCGTTGTCAAACCAAACACCTAAGTAAAAGACAAATTGGCATCTATGTTAAGACTACAATATATCACGGGAAGGGCTGGTTAGTTATAAAGTTCTGTCCACAACCTTGTGCATTGCTCGCGAAAGCAGTGATTGACACCCTATGGGATCATCCACATAGGAACAAGCTCCAACCTTCCGTTTCACATGGAGGATACCAGAGTTAAATGGGTCATTCTTGTCTGTAAAACTCCACCAAGGCTTGTCTGTAGAGGAACAACTTCTTAAATTATCAGAAATATAGCAAATTGACATAAAGAAAGAACATTGCAGCAACAAACTTCACCCACCTTCAGGAACAAGCTCAATCACTTGAGGCCAGTATCGAGGGCCACAGACACGAACTGTCTTTAACTGCAACAGCATATTAAATAAAGCATTAACCACAAGATAATTTTTCTAATTAACAGAGATAATTAGCAGACAGGTGAATTTTTGTGATAGTTGACACACAAGTTGCCTGTAACTTGGATGATTTCACAAGATTAATTACAATAGCAACAGAAAATCAGTCCATCCATGCCATAAACATTTCTACAAACTATCGCATGCAAAGCTAACAGATTTTTATGCTAATTAACCTCCAAAATTATCAACAGAATTTTAAAGTAAGTCCAGAAATGATGACAATCCTAGTAAATTTGTTAACAGATCTTGAAACTTACTATAGAACGCTCAGGCAGAATGCAAGGAGTAACCTCACAAAAACTTGTTTCTGAATAATGCTCAGTTTCCCTGATTGTAACTTCAAGAGGAGCATAAACAGGGAGGCCAGTGTCGACATCAACAGTTTGAAGCCAGCGAGCCTCCGTTGCAAGGACATACATGTGTCTGAATGCCTGGAAAATGCACTTACTTATAGTAAGGAGGTAAAAGTACAACATCTATCCCAAAAAGGAAAAAGACATCTAGTCTCCTGAAGCACAAGTAGGATCCACTGGAGTACTGTCCAAAACCGATAGTAAAAAAATTCTTGCAATGCTTGTGACAAACCGTACACTTTTCCCAATAAATTTTAAGCTACCTTAAAAACACCGTAATACTCAATCTTAACATACCTGAAGGTGGCAACGGTTATCATTTGGTCCAGTAGGCAACCGTGGATAAAGAGTTATAAGCAATGCAGCAACGGAACTGTTGCTGGTAGAAAATGTCCTCATGCCTCCACCAAGAAACAGGAACCCAATTGCTAAGCTCACCTAAAATCAGTCCATATTTATAAATAAATTAAGATGACCTAGTAAGAAGCAAATTGATCAAATTTATGTTAGTCAACCTAATTCATTTTAGATTAACACCAGTAAACATGATTTATTTCATCTCATGGAAGAAGCCCATCCTGGGCTACACAGTAATCATGACCCAGAAGCCATCTCATGCTAACGTATTCTGCATTGTTTTCAGATGGAAGGTTGGCCATTTAGACACTCTTAATGAGAGACAAATAAAATGGTAAAAAAAAATCATTCAGTCCTTTATGCTTCAATAGGTTTATAAGACCTCAATCATGCAGATTCAACATTGATTAAGGCATTTAGCGTGTCAGTGCCTGATAAATTAACAGCTTGAAATATTTGATGATAAACAACAGGTGAATCATAGAATCCACATGCGTAAACCAATTTATTCATCTTTATCTTACACACTCTCAGAAAACAATACACACTTTCCCACATAAATTTAAAGCTTATGACATGCATGAGGAGATCATAAAATAAGCACATAAGAATGTCTTATATCTTAAAATCTGCATGTTTAGAAATCTTACCACCATCTGGATACCATA